AGGAAGGACCCAAAGTGGCCTCATAAGACTGGAAGCTTCTTTTAAGTGTGAAATTGTAACACTTCTTAAATTACAGGTGGGCCTTTCAGAATTCAAAGGAGATTCGAATGAAGGCAGATCTTAGTCCACTCGTAATGTCTATGGAAAATTATTTCCTAAGAACAACAACAATGACATCCTCAGTGTTTTGGAACGAATCCATTGTTTGAAATGATTTTATCAGAGAGAGATCAGAAAAATGTGGGCTACCTGGATTATTAACCATTTACCCCAGCATAATTAGAAAGAGGGGCAATTATTTTTCTAAGCATTTTCTGTTTCTTATAGGTGACTATCTGGTTGCTACGGTGTGGCTTGTCACCAAGATTCTGACATTACGTGTCAGGGGAGGCCAATGTCCTAACAAAGCCAAATGGTAAGATTGAGCATCGCTCCCGGTGACAAGCCGAGTGGCCCTGTGGAAGTTTATTTTTTTTAAGAAGCCTGCTTTCTCATGGATAAAATAGGAACACTAATATCTATTTCATTGGCGTATCAGAATTAAATGAGATAATGTATTCAAAGTTCCTAGGCCCTCCAAAAAAGGTTTTTGTAACTATATATATATATATATATTTAAATATATGCAGGCACAGAGATGGTTGTTTGCTTGCCCTACCCCATCCCCTGCAAAAAATATTTATTCTGGTACCAAAGTGCCCAGCTGAAAGACTCCATTCCCAAGTTTTCCTTGCAACTGTAGAGGGGTCAAAGAGATGAAACAGAAGTTTTTTGTGGGCCTCGTGGTAGTGTGCTTTAATAGGAAAGAGAAAGATGGCATGTGAATCTATTATTCTTTCCTTCCTCCTATCTCCTGACTAGAATGTGGCTGTGTGTGCTGGGCTTCAGCAGCCCCTTTGAACTGAGAAGAACCTTTGAGGATGGAAGCCCAGTGCTGTGGATGATGGAACAAGGTGACAGATGGTGCCTAGATGTCAGGGGACACCATGGAGCTTTCATTCCTGCTCTGAACATACTCATCTCACTCCTCATCTGAGAGAGAGAGAGAGAGAGAGAGAGAGAGAGAGAGAGAGAGAGAGAGAGACACTTCTATTTTACTTAAGCCATTGTTACTTTTCTGTTACTCGAAGTCAAATACAGTTTCTCCTGAACACACAGATTATTTCAGATTTAGGTGATTCAGAAACTGGGGGATGACTTCTAATACACACAGTTTTTAAATAGTTTAATTTCATTTATCAAGAAAATTAAAAATGTATATTATCATTATTATTATCATCATCATTATTATTGAGACAAGGTCTTGCTATGTAGCTCAGGCTGGCTTTGAACTCAAGATTCTCCTGCATCAACCTCCTAAGTGCTGGGGAATTACAGGCATGCACCATCATGCCTGGCTGAATCTAATTATCAATGATATCTTAAAAATCAAGAAAACAGAATATTATTTTTCCAAATTCGGTAGGTCTTTTTTTCTACTTACTAATTAGAATTAAATGGGAAAATTAGCTTTGTAACTTAACCTTCACACAGTTTTAGAGACATGTTTCTTTGGGAGAAAAATACTGAACTTACAGATAGTGGGTCCACAGGAACAATATGTTGAATTAATCTAGCAGTGACTTTTGAAAGAAATTTGTCAAATGGAGCTTCAAAGTTATGTGTTTAATTTTTTCCAATTCACTCATGAGTGAATTCAGTTAAGATTTATGACGACTGTTCCTGTAATTAACTTTTATTGTCATTTACCCCAATTTTTTTGTTTTTATCTTTTAAGATGTAAATAACAAAAAATAGGTACTGAACACACAGGTTTAAAATCCAGTGCACAGGTTGGCTGGCATACATACTGGTGGGTATTGACAAGGGACCAAGCAATTTAAGCCTTGTGGACTTTCATATGAGACACAGAAAATATAAATACTAAGAAATAATAAAGAAATGTTAGTACAGAGTAAATCAAAGAATAAAAAAGCCATTCTTTCCTTCCATAAGACAATAACCACCCCCATGATGGTAATCCACAGTAGACTGTGGTACGAACAGTTAGTGTTAGAGCTTGCACGATGAACAAAGCTGTCTTGATCTAGCTCCTGAAAATGAATTTGACAGATTCTTTTGAGCTTTACTGAGATTCGGGGTTGATGAAAGGTTTCATACTTCTATGCTTAGATACCACAGGGGGTCTGGTTTACACCCTACCCCCTTTGCATGGTGATTCCTCCTCTCGGTCCTAAGCAGGGAGGTCAGAGCCCTGCCACTGAAGGGCAGAGCTGAGATAACTGGAACATCCAAGTTCACAGCTCTTCCACTCTTCATAGCTTCCTCAATTTCTTTACCATATTTCTCTCCTTCCACAGGTCATACAGCCCTCATCTTTGAACTTCAAAACTCTTTAGTGATTTAGTTCACAAGTGCCTTATTAATAACAAGTAAATAAATTCCTTTGGCACTGCCTAAAAACTCTGATATGCAACAGGTACACTCTCTGGAGGCGGAAAGCAAAGGAATAATTTTCTGTGAAAAACAACAATTCCCAAGTGGAATAAAGAGTGAATTTATCTTATTTCCTGTCTTTGCTAGTGTGCAAAGTGGACCTTGTCCCTGGAGCAGATCATCACTCACACTGCTGCTTTTTACTTTCACTAGGAGTTAAAATCAGCTACTTTGTTTGACTGGGAAGGTCAGAGTAAAAAATTAGTGCATCTCATAAGGAAGAATTCAGGATTCCTGGCAAAGCAGAATGCAAGCTTCATTTCTTTGCTTTCCTCTCTTTCTGTAAGAACTCAATTCCTTGAAATCTAAGTGCTGACCCAGTCACAGTTACATTTGATGTGCACATTCTCAGCCATTTTTTTTCCCTTTCTTGGGGCAGGAAAGCTGCTGATGGACTGACTGTGGTCTTCTCAAGGCATCACAGCTTGCATGGAAGCTTCAGAATATTCCCCATGAGAGAGAGAAAGAAACAAATGCAGCCTGTGGTTCTGATAGACAAGCCAGAGAAGAGGATGTACCTATTTTGTACAATGTGGGATTCTAACAGCTTTCCCCATAAGATAGGCAAACAATCGTGCATACAAATACATTAAAAAAATAATGGGGGAAAGATGCCAAATTAAATTGACTGGTTTAAGTGTCCCTAAGACTGCTGGTTTAAAGTGTATTTCTCAGTTTGCTACAAGCTTTACATCATTCCCAGAGGAAAAGTGAGGTGACAAGCAGCCCCCAGGATGCACAGACAAGTCTAGGATCCAGCCTGGGAGGGGGTGGTGGAGTTTGCCACTTTGACTCTAGGTAACATACCTATGCCACCTATCCTTCGATGTTTCCAGTAGATCTCACCCTCATCACCGGAAATTCTAGCCTGCTTTCTGCTGTGGAAATGAACCTACTTTCTCGCAGACCCTTATCACCATCCCTTCACGGGTTCATGCTTTCCTTCCCACAGCTCTCACCACCAGTGCCCAAAGTCCTTTCTGCCTTTGAAATTCTCATTTCTAGTTTCCCCCAGCTCTGGGAGAGGACTTCAAGTCTGCATTCTAATTTAATATTGCACTGTGAGAAGTATCACTGATACCTTTTAGACTATGGACTTTTCAAGGTCAGGAATTATATTATATACTTTGGTGGGGCTGGGGTTTGAACTCAGGGCTTCACACTGCTAGGGAGGAGCTCTACCACTTGAGTCACTCTGCCAGCTTATGTTATATATTTCCAAGTGTCCTCTTTGGAGCTTTGAATATAGTATGTGCTTTGCCGTGTGCCGTTTCCTCTTTATTTTAGGCAAGTTATATTATTTGTTTAGCTCTTCATTAAGTAGTGATTGGAAATCTACTGAGAGCTGCAGAAGTGGTGATAGAAGTCTAGCTGCTTCCTACTTTTCCCGATGGCTTCCCAGGAATTCTTTCCAGGACTGAAGATGCTTTGGAAATCCTCTATTGCTCATTCTATAGTTGCTGTTACTTGAAATTAAAAAGGGGGGAAAACCCATCCTTTGTGCTCTTTGGACCTTAGCCAAAGGTCCCCATGTAGGCCTCCTTAGTATTCTAGGCTATGTATTATAGGGATAGGGTGAAAAAGAATAGAAAAGTTAGAAAAGAAAATCATAGTGCCTGTGTATGAAGATCAATCACAAGGATGTTCACTTCAGTGTTATTTAAATCAGGACAAAAAGTTAGAAACTTTTAATTAGATAAACCATATTCTAGAATAGCCACACATGCGAGGAAATGGAATACGACAGAATGTTAAAAATGCAAGTTACAAAATGGTAGATATTTATAGTGTGTTGTTATTTTTATTTGAAGAAATCCATGGGAGTGAGGGAAAACTCTACAAGGCTATACTTCAAAGTATATCCAAGTAATAACATAAATGATTCTTCTTTGAGAATTTCCCAAACTTTCTAAAACAAAATGAGTCAGGGAAAACAAATTTAATTTTTTTTTGGAAAAAGGAGACCAGGAAGAGAGTCCTCCCATAATGGCAGTATCTTTTAACAGGTTTTGCATAAGGGAAGGCGTCCAGAATCAATGGTGGCTCATCCACCATTTCCTTCACCTTTCTGAAGCTCACCTCCTCAGGAAGCCCACACTGAGAGCTGATTTTCCCACTAGTTGTTAAAAGTAAATTAGCAGAGCACAAGCATTTTCATCAATTTTCTAACTTTTGTCCCCTTAATACACACATGGTGGATGAACAACAAGGTCATCAATTGCTTAGAAGCCTGGTAGTTATGCTAAGTTAAACCAAATTCTAAAACAAAGCCAAGTAACTCAACGAATAGATTCAGAAGTAAAGGTCTTTCCAAAAGGACTACACCAAAAATTCTACCATGGTGCATAGAAGAGATGGAACTGTTTTTGCATGGATGGATGGAAGGCAGAGTAAAAGGTAAGATAAATATGGAAACAGGATCCATGTCTCCAAGTGAGAGTGACATGGCATGGCACTTGGGATAAGCTGGTGGAGGAGGAAGAGTGTCTGAGCAGAAACCATACCTTGGTCTGGAATGTACAGAACATGTGTGTTAGAAACGGATGCTCCCAGGCCAAGGACAGGACTCTCTTCTCGACCATCGTACACTCAACATCATCGTCCATCAAAACCACATCCTTCTTTAAGGCTTTTATTGCGAAGAATTGATTGTTTTTCTTGAACTCTGCTAGAAAGACCTAGAAGAGAGGGAAAGTGAGAATTTGGATTCTCACTTATTAAAGAAGAGACAGAACGCTGAGAAACACCTGTGCTGGGTAGGAAAAGAGGGGCCTTCTCCAACTCCCTTCCATCTTGGTTGGGATGTTACAGAACACCTTACTGGTTTAGGATGTTACATAACAGTTTCATACCATCTTTGTACCTATCAAATGGCTTCACAAAATTAGGTGGGTTATTCCTAATACACGAAAATATTATATAAAAAGTGTGCCCTGACTACCCAGGGACCTGAATAAGAGTGTAATAAAATTCAGAGAGACAGAGCACACATTGAAAAAGGAGTGGAATAGTAGAGAGAGAACATGAACTGAAAAGGCACACAAAACTTTGCTGTTTCACCCAGCTTTTCATAGCAAAAAAAGAACTCTTGAGGGAGATTATCATCCTTATGTACTTAAAAAGTTAACACCATTTCATCTGGTGACACAGAAACACGAGTTTTAGGACCTACTATGTGTCAGGCAGTCTGCTATATGCTTTGCAGGTGCTTTCTAATTCAATCTTTGTTCTGAACTGTGCAGGTTGGTATTAACAAAAACAACAACAAACCCACTTAGTTCAAAGAGTGACTTTACTTCCTCACATTCATGGCACTAGTTATTGGCAGCTCTAATTCCAAAGTTTACTTTTTCCACTTGATTTCACATTATCGTATGTCAGCGGACACCAGATGGCTTATAATGGAGAGTTTCCACAATTTTAGATTTATAAATGATGCCGCTGAGGATTCCTGGCAGTTATAAAGGCGCAGTATTTGTGTACAGAAAACTCCAGCTCTGGCTTCATTTCACAGTCATTTACTGGCTTTGGACATATAGGGCAAAGCAATGAACCTGCCTGGCTTCAGCTGCCTAACCTGTAGAAGGACAACTCCAGGACTATGATGAAAATCCAATCAGATGCCATGTGGGAAAGTGACTTGTAAGCTATATTTATATTATAAAATATAAAAAACAAACACCTGTCATTGTTTCTTTTATTGCCTTTTAGGGAACGGCAAAGTCAAGGATATCAAAGCAGTACTGACAATGAGTGTGTCTAGGTTTAAAATGTTGTGCAGACCCATGGCTTTGTTAACTTGCTATAGAGGGGGTGGAGCTTAGATGAGAGTTCACACACATGAATTATTTCATAGCCTCAGAATACATGCAATTTGTTCTCCTGGATGTAAAAATAGTGAGAATAAGAGTAGAGACTACTATTTTGGTAAGAAACTATACTTCCCATATAGAACCAAAAGAAAGAGGAAACACAAGCTTTAGAGTACTCTCAGTGTTGTGAGAAAGGGAAAAATGGCTGTCCCTTCTTGATACTTCTTCCTGTCCTTTCAGTGTGCAGGGATCAGGGTCCAAATGGAAAGAGGCCCACTATTTTGTAGATAGAGCAGAGGATACCTAGGGCTCCAGGCAGTCCCTTGGGATCTTTGCTGAGGCTTGTATGTTTAATGTTTTTCTTATTAACCTTGTTCAAATGTAGAAATCCACATGGGAACAAGGAAAGACAAACATTTCATTAACAATTAAAAGTATGCTTTTGGTAATTGCTTCTTTCAGTAAAACATCCTAAAACCAGCCGTAAACTAAGAAGCTGAAAAGGCAATTTCCATTTATATAATGTGCTTTCAATTTTTGGTAACAGGTTATAATTGCACATTAATTGCTGCTAAATTATAATAAAGGCTGGCTGTAAAATTGCCTATTACACTCAGATTAACACCAAATGAGCCTGCTGTGGTTCATATTACTGTGGAAATGAAACTAACGGATGCCAACCACAGTTTGCAGGGCAGAGTAGATTTCATTGGTGTTGGAGTCCAAGATATCTGTACTGGAGCAAGATATTATTCTGCTGTGGTGATGCTCAGTTGCATTTTAGTTTTTTTTATTATTAAATAAGCTGGGTAAAATTTCATGCCAAAGTCTGGTGAGCAGATGTGCTCAGTACAATACTGACTTTGAATGGAACAGTAGTCCTTGGTTAAAATTTACTTAGGAGTTGAATCCAAGAATATAAACAACTGGAAACCCCATTAATGCATTACATATCCTTAATATCTTAAATAACCTAAAAGCCTATATTCCATATCATCCCTCCATACTATCGCTTGCTTGAAATTTTCCAGCTGTCACCGATAGTTGTTAGTAATTTCTTAATTATGTCTTCCTCCACCTCACCTCTCCCTTGTTCCCCTTTCCTTTTCCTCCTCTATTTGTGCTCCATGACTGATAGAAACAGCCCATAACCTGAGTGTATTGTAGGAGGGATGTAGAAGGATTTTCTCCAAGAAACTTTTTCTAGGACTTTCTCAAGCTACGTGTAGCTTTGTTATATACGAGCCAAGTTGTGTTTCCCCTTGCTCCTTTATATGTTGAAGTCTTAATCCTTAGGACCTCAGAATGTGAGCATATTTGGAGATGGGGCCTTTAAAAAGCTAATTAAAGTTAAACGAGGTCATAAAAGTAGGCCCTTATCAAATATGACTAGCATCCATACAGGAAGAAGAAATTTAGAGAGAGTGAGGCACAGGAAGAAATTGGGGTGAGGCCAAAGGAAGACAAGACAAGGAGAAATGCCTTGGAAGAAACTACCCTGCTAACACCTTGATTTGGACTTCTGAAGACATTTGGTAGAAAAAAAATCATACATAAAGTAAAACAACACTGAGGCTTGAGGAAGAAGCAGTAGAGGACAAAGCAAAACAAACAAAAAGCCTGTGTGAAACAGGAAGTGACCAAAGCGCCTTCTTGGTTCTCCAGTGCCCAACGACACCAAACTCATTGAGTGTGTGGGGTATGCCACACAGCAAAGGAGTATGTTCTTTTTTGGGACAGAGACCCCAAGAAGCAGAGGCTGCTATCATCCTAAAATTAATCAGTGGTCTCCTCGGCCAATCCCAACGTGTCAGGAATGTTCTCTTCCTTCAGATATCCATACACTATCCAGTACCTAGAGTTTAGTTCCACCTACTAGAGGCACTGTTGTTTAGTCCCTGAAATCTGGTCCATAGGATCCAAAAGTATGGTGGCATACCTTGCCAAAGCTTCCTTTCCCCAACATTTTGTGCAAGACAAAATCCTCGATTTTTAATTTCATTTGCAGTGATGGTCTTTCAATATTCACTTCAGGTTGTGGGGGATGGCATATTTTATCTGTCCCATCCAAGGGGGACTCCCAGGAGATTCCCTGAGGCTCTGGAAAATGGCAAACCATGCATTAAATTAGAACATAGAGTAGTGGAGGATCACGGTAGTTATTTAGGGCACCTGCTTTTCTCTTCCACTTCCCATGCGGAGGCTCCATTCACGTGGACGGGGCGGGGGGTCAGTGGTTTTTCTGCAGTACGGCATCTTTAATCCCTCTCCATCTGCCTGTGAGCCTGGCCTCCGGGCGTGGACTGCTCTCTATCTAGCCAATAGACTGGGAAATGGCCCTACTTAAGAAACAATCCAATCAACAAAAGACCACATATGCAAATATCTGATCATCGACAAATAAGAATTTTAATGAAGTTTGAGGAAAAATGATTCTAAAGTGTCTGTGTGGGTCACAGGCACAGTGGCATCAATTCCCATCAATCACAACGTGGGGGCAGAGCACAGAAAACCTAGCAGATAAAGATTCGAGCTGCATTACTCATTGCAGTCTTCAAGGATTTTGTCTACACTGACCATCTCAGACATGTGATCTGCTTCACTGCTTAGAGATCTTCCAAAGACTAATTCACACATTTCTGTTAAATTTTTTATGTCACTTTAGTCTTTTACCAAGTGCAGAAAGGTGTAGAAAACTTTTTTTTGACTCCCTGTCTTATAATATTACTTTTACTTTTAAAATACTCACATTCTTCTTTATACCTAAGGAAAATATTTTATAATGTATACGGAAGTAACTCAGGTCTCAGAATCACGATCTACCTTCAAATAGTGGGTGGGGTAAACTTGCATCATGTCTTACATGTTAAGCCTGGCTGTTCTCTTTTCTACCCTTAACTTCCCAGAAAAGTCTCCAAGGTGCAGAATAAGAACAACTTCTGTGGTATTCCCCCCACCCTGCTTTCTGGTAAATTTATTTCTGTAAAACCACTTAACATTGACAAGAAGTAACATCCTAAAATTCTAAGGAACTATTTGCAGTTGCTGCTCCAAACCTATCTCATCTTTTTCCCCCCATCGCTCTTCCATAAAGCTTTTTTAGTGAGGCATATCTTGGCTTCACTCTCAGTTGGTCGTTAGGTCTGCAATCTTTAAATAGAAAAGGATTGCTTATCAAGCCAGGTAAACTGAGAATGTAAATCCATAGACCTCACGTTAATGTTGATGATTTGTGATTAACATTGATTGACAGTTGACCACGATAGCTACCTCTTTTTCCAGGTGTTGGTAAGTTTGGCAGCCTGGCTTCGTTTTTGATGGAACATGGGGGACCAATTTCAACTGGACCTTCTCGGAAGATGTGTTCTGAATCTCTTAAGGAGCGAGCCTAGGTTACAAACAGAGGGTCAGACTACCCACCATAGATGGGAGAGCTCAGTCTGCTGTGCTTGGGGACAAGGACCATTTAAGATTCCTAGATAGGGGTCTGGCATAATGGTTCCTGCTTTTGATCCAACCTACTCAGGAAGAGGATATTGGGAGGACTGGCTAGACTGGGCAAAAGGTAAGACCCCCATTTCAGCAAACAAGCTGGATATAGTGGTGCACATCTCCCAGGTATGTGGGAGGCTTGGGTAGAAGGATCATCAGCTAAGGTTGGCCCAGGCAGAAAATACGAGACCCTATCTGAAAAATAACTAAAAGCAAAAAAGGCTGGGGGTGTGGCTCAAGTGACAGAGAACTTGCCTAGCAAGTGTGAAGCCCTGAGTTCAAACCCAGTATTCAAAAAAAAAAAATCCTAAATGCTTAGGCAACCAAAGCTCTGCCTCCTTCATCACTCTTAGAATTCCTTGCCTGGAGAGTCTGTGGTAGTTAATGAACAGAAGCGTGTACTTAACATCTTCATACTTTTCTAACTGGAATTTCCCATTGTTCCACAACAAGTAAGAACAGAAAATCAATGGAAAAATAGCTTATGCCAGCAATGCCAAGTCTTAAAGAGGATTCATTCTTAGAGATGGGAATTGAAAGGCAAAAGTTTCCCTGAACTGAGGGTTCTGTGAGACCACTGAGGATGGTTCCAGTGAATAAGTGTTTTACCCCAGGCTACTACATAGCCCTGATGTATGAGGTATAAAGCTGGCAATAAACATTCAGTAATTTTAGTGAATTCATTTGTTTCTGCCCTTCTCAATTACAAAGAATTTAAGATCTTAGAAAGAGCTGAGAAATGCAAATGCATGCATTCAATAAATAAATATGTCAAAGGGGGCAATGTAGGTATGAAGATGGAAGTTAGGGGCAAGGAAAGGGCTTAGAAATCCTTCCATGACATCCTTTGGGATTGCTACAGGTCACAGAGACTTGAGCTGATGCAGGGAGCTCACAAACTCAATACATTCCCTACCTGTTGGGTGCTTTCAATCATTGCCAATGCTTCAGCCATTAGCTTCTGGTTTATACCACAGAGGTTGGCAACCTTTGTTTGGCATCGGTGATGGACATTCATGCCACATGCTGAAAGGAAGAAAGAGGGTAATGAGCAGGAGGGAAAGAGGCCACTGGTACTTGGAAATGACTTCCTTTTGATGCAGAGCCAGACCCTGTCACTAGGGAAGAAAATCTGTGGTCAGTGTACTCTGAGATGGGTCATGGCTGAGGGGAAAAAATTGATGTTGATTCTCCCTATAGGAAATGCAAAATGCTGGAATACCAGAGCGCAACCTCCACTCCAGGTTGGAGCCTAAGTGTTCCTTTTTCCAGCTGGACTGTAGAGCTTCTCTACAGGTTGAAGCCCAGATTGCAGTCTCTGCCTGCAGAGTAGGAATGGAAAGGTGGAGTATGTATGTGGGGGGAGAGAAAGGTGACCAAAGTCTATAGGCTCACCTTAGAGAGAGGTGCAGTTAATAGACTCTGAGACTGGTGACAGTGGGGCTGGGGGTGGGGGCACAATCTGAGTCCTGGACATCTAGGATGTCTGTGCCTCCTGTGAACAGACAGAGTGCGTGTGGGGGGTTGGGCGGGGGGAACCAGTGGACTTCTTGTCACTCAGAAAAATGTAGATACTTTACTTATTTTATTTCTAAATACATTTGAGGCTACTGAAGTGAAATTCTTTCTTTGGAAAAAGAATAATAGAAAAGGGAAGGAACATGTAATTCCTGAGTTCCTTCTACTCTTTGTCTGACTCTCTTGGGATGTTCTATGGTAACACAGACCCTTTGGTAGCTACACACTTGAGCTCCCTGGAATCTGACGATAAGACTTTATAGAGCCAAAGCATCTCTTTCCATCTGCTGTTCTTGTTCCCATTCCCTTCTGCCACACCCTGCACAACATTCTCCTTATGATCCTCTCCTTAGGACTTTTTCTTAAAGTCCTACTTTGATCAACAGATGCCCTTCTAAGATATGTTCAGAAATCACCACACCATGCCTGTGACCTATGTATGCAATAGACAATGTGAAAAAAAAAAGAGCAACGCTTAAAGGCGTCAGAACCTACCAAGACCCAGTTAAAGGAAACCCACCAACAGACCGTTCCAGAATTATGATTACACTTTCTAATTGTAACAGGAGAGTTATTGAAATATTATTTTGTGTTTCTTTTCTTCCTCAAGTGGTTTTCATACCCTGGTTCTGTCTTGCCAACAAGCCAGGCTACATATTCCTTCTCTTAGGATTTTAGTGGATAGGAACAGAAGGCCACTCTCTAGGTATCTTTGGGAAGGAGGGAACTGGGTAAGTGTCCAAGAGTAAGGAATGAGGGAGACTACAGGGGGAAAGAACCTCCCCATTTCTCTTGGACCTGGGAAAGGAAGAGATAGTAATTGTGTATCTGCCACAGATACACAAAAGAATGCTCTTTGCTGGTTTGCATTGCCAAGAGAGATCATGGCAGAGCTAAGGGAGACAGGACCCAGGCTAGACTCCAGATTTGACAAAATCACAATGCCCTCCATGTGGTGCATAAACAGAAAGTCATAGGCTGCCGCTTGGGTAGGGACACCAACAGCAGCCCAACAATTGAGTGTCAGAGGGCATTGTTCAGTTTTCTAGGTCTGTACATGTCTCCCAAATGCTGAGTGATTACAGAAAGGATAGAGGGCCCCCTAAATTATTAGGGTTCCACTTAAGTGAATTTCAAGATCATAAAGAAAACGGTATGTCTTGTGCACATGAGTTAATGTTTTAAATTTACATCTATGACATATTTACACAAAATAGTTCATAAAAGAGAAAAACATTTTCTTTCATTTTGTAAGTCATATAAGACTTTATATTTTGTTTTTCTAAAGAAGAAGAGAGAGATGTGGAGAATACTGAGACACAGCACTGGCAGTGGGAAGGAGGGTGTGTTCTGATGCCAGTTTGCACAATGTGACACTACTTTACCTCTCACAAGCCATCTGCTCTCTGTGGGTTTCCGAGTAGGACTCCTAGCACTGAACTACTGCTCTATATAGACTTCCAGCTCTGCATGTCTAGGAATATTCTGAAAACAGCACCTTACTTCTATTTCCAGTGACGTTGGGATCCTTCTTGGGTAGGGCATGGCAAGGAGGTGGGGTGTGCCTGCAAGTCTTTTTAAAGACAACTATTACATCATGTTATTAGTTTTAGGTAACTCAGATTTCACTTTTGAAACATCAGTATTATAATGAACAAAAACAACTACACAAATATTTCCAAACTCCAGCTGATACAACTCTAATCTCTACTACTCTTTCCTTCTACAAAAGTATTTTAAAATCAGGGTTGTTGTAATAGAATTAGGCAGATGAAACTGTAAAATCATGCAAATTTCAATCTTATTTGCTTATTAGCAATTCATGTGCAAATTGCTTAGCACAGAGATTGAGTAGGTGTTCAATAAATGCAATTTCTCTTTCATCTTTATTACTTATTTCACTGACATATATATAAAAATCTAGGCTCCCTCATCTTTAGTTTTAACTATCCCACACTTCCTTAGTTCATCATAAAACAAGTAAAATGGTATTTTCTATATAAATAGTATAATCTCAGTGTATATGCATTGATATAGCCACAAAATCCATTTGAAGAAAATCTTTTATGTACATTCAATACATTTGATATAGTAAAGATGGCTTTTATGATGGTGCTCAGAATTTTGTATTGTCAGCATGACTCACACCAAACTTGTTTAGGAGGTTTTAGGTTTTAACTTGGGTGGCCCTAGCTGCTATTTTCTTCCTCATCATTGCAGTGCGATGTGAAAGTTTTATTGACTATAAATATGTTGGGATTGGTATTCTACTTCACTCCTTAAAGTGTGGCTGGATCTATGCTTGTCTCTGATGTGCATGGTCATGAAGAAATGCTATCATTCCCACTGTATCATCATGAGTTACGTTACTAACCTAGAAGGTGATAACTGGATCTCTGTGAGTTCAAACAGTCCCTTTTGATGGCTACTTTCATGGGAGTTACCGTGGAGAAAGAGAGAGAGAGCACAGTGTAAAGGTTGAAGGGGGCCCTACTTAGGAAAATGACTTATAAGGAAGTAAGGTAAGAAGGAGGCAAAGAAGAAGGGACAAAGAGAAATAAAGAAGAGGATGAGAAGAATCAAGAGATGAAGATGATGGCAGGTAGAGATGAACAGAGTTTGAGGAAACTGGAAGTTTGGGGAGGAGTAGAGGCAAGAGTGAAAAATGAAATAGGAAAGGAAAGGGAGGGGAGGACAAGGGGAAAGGAGAGGGGATAAAAAAGAGAGGGAGGGGAACTACTTGAAATAAAGGTGGTAGGAGGGAGTGGGAAAGAATGGAATGGAAAGGAAAGAATGTTAGAGGAAAAGAATGGAGCCAAGCAGACCACATGAGTGTGAAATAATGCCAAGGAATCTTTAGGGAAGTTCTAAGCTTTATGGTTATACTGTCAAGAGCAGTGCTGCCTTAGCAAGTGGGTGCTCAGGCTCCTGGGAAATGAAACCTTACCCTGAGACGGGTGTGAGTACCAGCTGGTGAGAATTGGGCTATTCATGTTTAAGTTTATGCAGTTAGAATATGGATACATTATTATTATTATTTTATTATCATTATTATTATTTAATGATGTTCTACATAATACCCTGCAGATCCATGCTTTCTCTATGAACAGGTATGTGGAGAAAAGTATACAAGTGATGCTTTTGATTCGTAAGGGATTCTGAGAGTTAATTCACACTACATGTGACTACCTTGGGTAACGATTTGGAAGCCTTTTTCCACTAAGATGTCATTCTGGGCTCCATCAGCCATATGAACAGTATCAGGGAGAGAAAAAGGAGACAGCAGAAGATGGTCTTTCACTTTTAGTCAACCACCTATAGCACTTAAGAGAGAAGACAATATATCCAGTGGAATAAATTAAAGTAGGGGGCAAAGAAAAATAAAGGGGCTTATCTAGTTAATAGCTCATCATAAAAACATCTGTGCTGTGCAAGAAACCCTTTTGTGACTACTGCATTCAGGCTCTGCCCCCTCTTTTGTTCCCATCCAGAAGGCAGAGGGCTTTGTTCTTATGGGAATTTTCTCCGCCTCTCTGCTCACTCAATCCTGGCTCAACAGCATCCCAGTTTCTGAAGCTTATTGCCTTGGTAATTTGGAGTTTTAGAGCAAGACTGCCGTGTTTCTTTTACTTGTGCTAGGTCTAGTAACTATCAGCAGGTAATGACAAGTCTTAGCTCTGCTGTATTTCCAGTCTCAAGGGAAAAGCAAACAAGGGAAAAGGGCGGTCAGTGCTGGACTTGCCCTCTTAATGGTGGGCTCTTGAAGTTCACAGATCACAGGATCGATTCCTCAGCTGAAGTCACAGAGTTTCTCTCTGTTTAGTACCACACATTAGCGAATGGATTTTCACACCTGCTCCTCAACATAGTAACAGAAAGAATATTATGAGTTAGTGCAAAAGAGAAAGGTAGGGGCACCCAACAGCTAGACCTTCTGGAATTAAGAAGGTACAGTTCAGAAGCTACCAAGGAGTCAGCTGATCTGATCTGAGTGAAGTAAGCTTTTGACAGAGGGACCAGTCAGAGAAAAAAGGCTACCTTCCTTCCTACATTAAGGCATAGAATCAGAGCCTTGACCTTGAGAACTGTTGTGCACTTTTCTGGGATGTGAAGATGAGGTTGTTGCAGGGTGGAGGGAGAGTAGCAGAAGAGTACTGTCCCAGGAAGGTGGCATTCCCAGTCATAGGCATAATAGACTGGGTATAGAAGCCATCCCTACACAACCTCCCTTTGCTCTCCATGTCACTGCACAGGTACCCCGTGGGGAGCTGCATGGGACCCATGCTCACCCCACATTGGACTCACCATCACACTTGAGTCCTTGCCTTGCTAGCCCCCACAGCAGGGTTCCACAGTGCTCACAGAAGGTCGGGCTCTTGTAGGTGTGGACTTTGAATCTGTGTGGCATGTCAATCTTGAATCTCTCCTTGTGGAACTGAAACAAAGGCAGAAGGGGTGACCCTATGCATGTAACTGGGTCCCAGCTTCTGATATTCGCACTTACACTTTACCAACACCAACAGCCACTGTAATGGAAACATAGGCAACACCAGTTTTTTAACCATTGAATCTTATCGGACCTTCCTATGGTGTCTGAAGAAGGCAGAGACCATGGCTCTTCCAGATGAGGACAAATGTGCCTTCTGTACAAGTCGAGTACCCACAGCTGATGCCTAAGTCATCAGCACAGACAAATGACTATTTCAGGAAGAGGGCATGAGGGTTATTTATCCAAATGGGAGCTAAGAAAACACTGCTTCCTTTCAAACAAATGAAACTGCCCTTCTTCCTGTTTTAATATAAATATTTCCTTCTTTCTTTCAGCCTAGAACTAGTGCTTAATGAAACATGCTGAAATTGCCTCCCCCAGAGGAAACCCTTGGATTTTTAGCATGAGAACCAGGATGAAGCACTGTAACACCTATTCAACAGAGGTGGCAAAAGGCACGTCACAGTTCCTGCCAAGTGCAGTGAACAAGTCGGCCACATATATCATCTTGTACGTGTGTAATGTCTCATGTAATCCTCAAAATACTCCATCTGAAGTAGCCTCTATTACTGTCCTCACTTGAGAGATGAAAAGAACAGGAACAGAGAGGACAAGAAACTTGCCGAAGTCGCACAGCTTCTGAATGAAGTCACATAGCTCCAAGTTCATAGTCATGGACTTGGCATTCAGAATCAGAACCCATCCATCCTGTTTTCTGTCTCAAAATAAATGTGAGACTTTAGGGGAGAGGGGAGATGGGGAGTGGTGCTAGTGGTAGATTTCCTTCAGGATATTTTAACAAGTTTTCCAGAGTTTAAGTTCTCACCTTCAACTCTTCTCTTTTTTTTTTGTGGGTTTTGAACTCACTACCACTTGAGTACCAGCCCTAAATTCTCTCTTCCAATTAAACTTACTGCATGCAACAACAGGAACAGCAGCAACAACAAAACTGGACAATTTGAACCGGTAAAAGTATCAGTATTTAAGTATCAGTATTTTGCACAGTGTAAAAAGTTTTATCTACTTAGGATTTATGAGTTCTTCAGGAGTTTCTAATTAAACAATTTTTTGTGGGCAGGTACCAGTGACTCATGCCTGTAATCCTAGCTACTTAGGAGGAAGAGATCAGGAGGATCAAGGTTCAAATTCAGCCTGGGCAAATAGTTTGCTAGACCTTAGTTCAAAAAAGCCCATCACAAAAATGAGCTGGTGGAATGGCTCAAGGTGTTCAAACACCAGTGCTGCAAAACAAAACAAAACAATTTGTTTTCGAGTTTGCATAGCAAGGAAGGCTTACTCATCGGCATAGCAGTGACAGATCTAATGGTCTTGCCACTGATTTTGGCTCGCACTGGCTCTTGTTTAGAACGGTTTAAAAGTTGCTCAGCACCTACTCTAGCTACTTCAACCAAAAAAAAAACAAATTTTCAGAACTTGCTTCATATTACACAGTGACAATATGAATAGTTAATAGGTCAAGGTCCAGATAGAAAGTGATCACTTCTATGCTGAGAGGAGCCCAAAGGCTCAAGGTATGACTGGCGATGACTGTCCATCCAGTCCTTCCAGCAGGGGTAGTGAACACCTGAAACGTGGTGAGTCAGAATTGAGAGGCATAGTCAAAACACACACTGGATTTTGAAGACTTTGTAAGAAAAACTAGTGCAAAATATTGCATTATTTTTATATTGATTATATGTTGAAATGATAATATTCAGACAAAATTAAATATCTTACCAATTTCCCCTGTTTCTTTTTTCCTTTATTTAGGCTGGTCTACTTGAGAGATTAAAGTGACACATGTAACTTTTATTTTACCTCTATTAGAAAACACTGCTCCAGGGTTAGTGGCACCAAAGAACCCCAAAGATGATGTCCCCTTAAGTGAACAAAAAATCAAGATATTCCAGAGAACATAATATTATCTGCATGGACATACTTATTTTACTAACAGTTTCTGGATAGTTTAGTTATGCCAGGAATTTTTTTTAGCTGTGGAGGTTAACAGTGATGCTAACAATTTATGATTTTCTAGAACAGCTAAAGGCATCAAGTTAGGGGGAGAAGACTTGGAGGTGAAGATTTTGCTTAAACAAAATCGTAACTCAGGAAGATTGAGATCTGGAGAGTAGTACCAACTCTGCCACTTAAGGTTGACTGACCCTGCACAAACAATTTTGACCTCTGAGCCTTAGCAGAATCACTTGTTAATATGAAATTATCACCCTTTAGCTCTGAATTTTAGAGGAAATTCTTTCTGAAAAAACTCAATTTGCTTTCTCTAAACCTACCCCTTTGCTGGGGAAATCACACATCAGATTGATCCTGTCAAACTCAAATGGACTTTGAGCTCTACCTCACATCCTCTTGCTTTTCTCTAATCACCTTGCTTTCTCATCTCTAAGAAAATTATTTCCCTTAAAGCCATGGTTGCCTTCTCTGTGTTCTTCCTCCAACCCTCAGACTGCACTGAGAATATAAGCTGTCTAAGGGTAGTGACCTCAGCTGCCATCAACAACTTCCCATCTTGCCCTCCCTTCTTGTTAAAATGGATGATGTGCCACTTGGGCCATCAGAGACCCATCTCCACATGAGCTAGCACTTCTCTCCTTCTTGTCATCAGAAGATGATGACATCTTCTGATGTCATGTCTTTGCAGTTTCATCCACCTCTGCCTAGCTATGGTGGTCCCTCCATCCCTTGTTGAACCCCTTCCTTCTGTCACTTCAGTGATCTTAAAGATTAATATTCTTGACAATATTAATGCACAGGTTGTCTCCATGTCATCACCTTCAGGCTCAACACAGGATGAGCAGTTACCTCCACAATTCCCTTGAAATTTCTCTAAGCAATGGCTGCAAAGATCTCTATGCAACCCCTGTTTTTTTTTTCAGCATCTCAGCTGCACAAAACACAATGAACCTCTCTTTCTGGCTCTGTAACTTAGTATAAAATGTAACTTCATGTACTCTGAAGTTCTCTCTGAACCTGTGTTCTCAGTCTCTTTTTCTCCTCTTCTACCTAACATCTAATTTTAGATCCCTTTGGAGTCAGCCCTGAACTGCCTCTTTCTTTATTCCCTTGCTAGATAAACTTTTAGGTCACTTTTAAGTCCTACCTATTTGATAGTCACTCTCAAACTCATAGAGTTGGTCCATTGCCTAATATGAATTCCAAGCTCATATAAAACTGGCCATTTAGAGAGGGTGAATATAATCAAAGCATATGTATGTATGGAAATGGCATGATGAAACCCCTTACCCTTACTATGTGCAACTTAACATGTGCCGATAAAAAATAAATAAAATAAATTAAAAAATATTCAAAAATAATTGTCCAATTGATTTTTCCTCTTGGAGGTCCACAGGCATATCAAACAGGACTTCCCTGTGGCAGAAGCCAGACCCCAGGCCTATCCTTATTTCCCTCCCTTTCATTTTCCATATCCAATCTGCTGGCAAATCCAGTTATTTCTAACACTGAGACCGCCTGAAAATCTCACTTTGTTCCATCTCTGTTGTCACCACATGGGTACAAACCACCAGCCTCCCCTAGTGGGACTCCTCAATCTTCTATGGTTTGACTTTTACATGTCAACACACTATGTCTTCTACAGTGTCACAATGTGGGCTTCCTACTACAAGTCACATAGTCCACTTTTCTAAGATCCACAGAAGCCTCATATTATCTAGTCCTGCCAGTTCCCCAACTTCATGTTCCAGTCTCTCTGGGCTTTGCAGTTTTAGCCATACTGGTCTCATTTCAGTTTCTAGAACAGGCTGGACTGTCCCCCTTCAGGGTTATCCAGTATGTCTGGAGTCATCATCTTCCTGCTGCTTATACAACTAGCACTTTCCACTCTCCCTTTTCAGTTTAAATGTCCTGGGAAGAGTCCCTGACCACTCCATCTAAGTAGGCCGCTGATTATTCTCCATTCTATACCTCGTCTACTATCTTTCTAACACTTAACATACTCAAAACTCTAATTGTTTCTCCACTGTTATGGAAGGTCCCTGTGCTATGCTGTGCATCTTACATAGTACAAGATGTTCTGTATGTAGATACTCAATGAATACTTGTTCAATAAAGAAGAAAAGGATAGAAGGAAGTCAAAATATTTCATAATGACAGGCTTGCCCGACTTAAAAGTTGTATGTAGTTCAGCTTCCCTTCTCCATATGGTAAAGTCGAACTTGTCTTTACATGGTACCTCAAAGTTCACTCTGTAAGAAATTTTTTCTTCTTAAGATAAGGATGATCCTTTTGTTACCATCACTTACTAGTGTCCTCAGTGCCTATGTCTCTAGATTTTATAGTCATTTGCCCTTTATTTAGACTTTAACTGTCACTTCTACTCTAGATTCCACAAAGCTTGTGTTCAAATAATTAATCAAAATTATGTATTCTGGCCACGTTCTATTATATTTTTCCAGAAAATTAAAGTTTTTACTGTGTTTTTCTTATTTATTCCCTAAGTTTGGCAACTCAATAAAAATCATTATTGAAGAGGAAAGCATTCTATGGAGAGCGATATTTATTTATAAGCTTAAGGATTCAAGTTCAGGCATTATGAAAAAGCATTAGTGGACTATAAATTTAATGTCAGGATAAAATAATCAGACAAAGAATCGAATGCATACATACCATGGTTTCTCGACTGTTGATAGCTGATCCTGTGCACTTGGCAATCACTTTATCAATACACTTCTTGTGAATTGCTGCATTACATTCTAGAAAGAAAATATTTAAAAACTTAAGATTTCCAGAAATTAAGGAGCAACTGAATGAAAAGGTCACCAGTGCAACAGATATACATCTTACTTACGTCGACACTGGTAGCCCTGTTTGTTCAGACCCCTGTAACAAAGCACAGGACTGATTTATTTGAATGTTCATGTCAACCTCAGTACCAAAAACATGTTAGAGTGAATGAGATCTCATGGCATCATAAGGTCACAGGGAGTTTACTCTCATTAGTAACCTGGTGAGAACAGTTTCCTTTTTTTTGCTTGCAAAACAGGTGCTCTACTGCTTGAACCACATCTCTAGTCCATTTTGTTCTGGTTATTTTGGAGATGGGTCTTGTGAACTATGCACTCTGGCCTGCCCTGAACCATGATCCTCCCAATCTCAGCCTCCCAAGTATCTAGGATTACAGATGTGAGCCATTGGAGTCCAGCTATTTTTTTCATTTTAAGTTGCTTTGTTAAAAGTTTGATAAATAAGTGAGGAAATGTTGACTTCCTTTTGTTCTTGTATTTTCCAAGTAAACATGGAGATTACAATGCCTGACCAAAATGCATCACAGGTTCTTAGCAGAAAATTTCCATGTCCCATACTTAAAAAAATCAGCGTCTCCTGTAAAAATGTTTTGTCTCACACATCCTTTGTTCAAATGTAGATGAACAAAGACCTCGGTAACACATTTGCTTTTCTTTTCTGAGTATCTGAAAATGTTTGGAAACAACAAAGCTGAACATTAAGATGATTCCCGAGCAACACTCATTATTAGAAAGGAAGGAGGTTCAAGTAATTAGAGGAAAACAGGTTAATAGAAACCCACCCACATCCATCGGACCTGTGGATACCCTAGTTAAGCAGGACTTGTGAGTTAACAGATTCTGCAGGAGCCCTAGGGGAAAAGCATCCCTTGGTAGGCACAGATGCTAAGACCATAAACAGGAGTAATTTCAGCCTCCACTCTACCATAGCCTTTGCTGTGTGGTTACTGAGGCTTAAGCTGATCTCTAAGGCTAAGACACCCAAGAGTCTCATTCAAGCCAGTCGTTCCAATGGGAAAGAGCTGTCGGTTTACAAATAGCAGCAGTGCAGTTGGCTGCTGAGGTGGCGGAAGTCTTGATTGTAAAACTACAGCCTGTGCTTACAATAAAGATGCCACCTCTTCTGTTCCTTCCCTCCTGCCCCCAGTACCCCCTCCATTAGTCAGAAGCTAAAGTCCTTTGGCCTCATTATGATTTGGATTTGAATTGTCTCCCAGAGGCCATGTGCTAAATAAAGGCTTGGTTCTGACCTGTACTGCTATTGAGAAGTGGCAGAAATTAGAGGTGATTCCTAGTGGAAAGAATGAAGGTCACTTGGGGCATGCCCTTGGAGGAGATATTGGGACCTGACCACTCCTCCTTCTCTGTTTGCTTCCCACCCACCATGATGTGGGCAGTTCTGCTCTGCCATGCACTTCCTGCTGTGATGCTCTGCCTCACTACAGGCCCAGAACAACAGAACCTGGCAACCATAGACTGAAATCTCTGAAACTGTCAGCCAAATGAGCCTTTCCTCCTTTTAAGTTGATTATCTCAGGTATTTTGTCACAGTGGCAGAAAACCATGTTATGAAAATCTCAAGTTGAACTCAGCCTTCAAACCTCAGTGCTGCTGAGACCGCTGACAACTCCCATGCAGTACTCACTCCCACAGTGGAGCACACCATGCCTGGGAGATTAAGCAGATGCAACAAAATGCATAACCTAAAGCTTGGAGTAAAATGCCGTTACTGTACCAGACAAACTCATGGCAGACAGAGCAAAACGTGGGTTGTGGAAAAAAGGTGGCAGTGAACTCGTGGCACTTGACATGGTGGACTTTGGCCTGTTTGATGGCTCCTCGGCGGTGATGTAAAGCAAAGAAGCCTTCAGTCTCAAATTCACTCATGTCCTTGGTGTCTGTAGGGAGAGAACAGGGGACAAAGTGAAGTTCTGCAATGTGACAGTCATTCTCTTTAAAACAAGAAATCAGAACTTTCAAGTCTGTAATTCTACAGAATAATGGCATGACTCACAGCAAACTGGAAGCAGCATTTCTGAGGTGCTAGGATTCTTTGCACCTTGTCTGTTTAGACAGGCTGCCACAGACTGAAGGGAGCTGTCCAGCCTTTTGGGTGAGGGCAAAAGAACTTTGGGAAGTTGTCTGTATTATGGTCACAGGAATCACAGTCAATGTAGAAAGGACCAGAAAATGAATCTGTCTTTTACAAAATGTGTAGGTAATTCCATGTATTACCAGCAAAGGCATATGCATTCAGTCTGCCTGGGCTCAGAGACATTGGTGAAGGCGTTTTGGGTAGTCACTGTTCACAATGACTTGTGCCTGTGTGATACCCTTCCAGAAGGCTGAAAGACTCTATGACGGTGGGGTTCTGAGACTACCCATGATGCCGGCGGACATACAGGACTTCAGAGGATGAGAAATGGTAAGGCAGTCACAGTTAAACAGCATGATGATCACCCCAGCAGATGAAGGAAAATAATAACAACAAAAACCCAGCCACTCCTAAGTAAGGATAATAAATTTAATGATTATAACACATAGAATCATAAGTATGTACTATCTCAAAGATTCTTGGGTCACTTACTCTGTTTCTTTTATTTTTATGCATATTAAATCTTGAAATTTAGTGGAGACAGAATAAGGGTGTAGAGTTAACAATATTGAAAGTAAATCACTTCCATTTTGGCTGAGTAGTGACAGAGGTCACTCAAATGCACTGGAGGTGAATGTCTCTGCTAAGGTACCATATTTTCCCACTCCTAATAGTGGCTGCACTGGGAACACACTAGCAAGATAAAGGAAGGGCTGTGCAGGTGAACACCATTCCCCAGGAATCCAGCCCAGTTCCAAGACATAGTTTAGAACTCACATCTCTGCAGTGATTCATGGGTCTGTGCTACTGCAACCCCAGACTCCTAGATATGCAGACTTCCCAGTAATTCTTGAAATAGTTTTGCAGATGGACCATAACATTTTGCCTAATACTTAAAGGCTAGGTAATTCAGGCCGTTTTATTTGGAACTAGGCTGGAAATAAATTAGAGTTGGTGGATGAAGGATTAAGTTAAGGTCACTGAGTCAATCATCTTCCACAAGTCCTGGCAAAAGTGTGTAGATCTATTTTCAACTTGTGATTGGTAGTGTCATTTATTAATAAGATCTGACTCCTTTTTATTTTGGAACAGATGTAATGAAATGAAGCAAGATATAAAGATACTTTTAATTTAGGGAGTAAAAATGAATTCTTATTCTGGAACACTAACCGTATGACTGTGTGTGTGTGTGTGTGTATTCTATGCATTGATTACTATAAATTTTAAAATGCTAGAAAGTTCTAGAAATAAATTTATGTCCTTGCTCTTTCCTATGGTTTCTTTCATCTTCTAACCATTTTGATTATTGTAAAAGATCAAATATATAAGAAGAGAGAATTTCTTTAATTCTTTTGGAACGATGTATATTTTTGAAGCAGCTCTCTCCATTTATTTATTAACTTGAATAAGGTCACTGGGTTTTTAAAAAAAAAAAGTTTATTCCTTCTATACCAATGGCTCCAAATCTTATGTAATCTATCACCTGTTTGCAGTCAGTCAAAACACAAATGCTTTCTGAGCAGATCTGAGGAAATTGCTGTGCTGTGTTCTGAAGAAATCTGAGATGTGGGTTGGGGCGTAGCTCAAGTGGTAGAGCACTTGCTTGGTAAGTGCAAGGCCCTGAGTGCAAACCCTAGTACTGCCAAAAAAATATCTGGAAATCTGAGATGTTACTCCTAACCCTTGAATGGCTATGATCAAGTTACGGAGGCAGGACACACCCAGGAAGAACAGGTAACTATAAGAGGTGATATATCATGGTGTAGAGTAGGCCATAGAACTATGTGTATTCATAGTTTTTAGGAGCAAAAAAAGAATTGCTAAAGTAAGCTGAAAATTAAGGGAAAAAATGGATACTATCGTATCAGGCAAGACAGAAAAACAATAGGGCTTTTGGTATTGACTGATAGATGTCAAGGAAGTTGAAGGCTAAGAAAAGGGAAGTTGTTTGAAAATTCTTGGAGAAAGTCATTTCAGCAGACTGCTCAAAATATAAACACGCTCCTAGGGTTTAAGAACTGAAGGAGCAAAGAAGGAGGGACAAATAAATACCTCTTTAAGAAATGTCAGGGCCAAAAGCAAACAAAAGCAAGGGAGGTTAAAAGCCAAAAAAAAAAAAAAGATAGGGGATGATGGATTTGGCAATGAGGAGGAAACTACAGGGAGCAGAGAGGCAAAGATGCTGAAAAGGAAGTGTACGGATAGAACAAGATTTCTGGGATGAAAGGCCTGTGGTCAACAAAAGGGGGCTTCCTCTGAGGCAGAGGAACAGGAAGAGAGTGCAAAAAGAAACAGCCGCATTCTAAAAGGCACGGACAGAAGTTGGAGTCCCCATCAATAGTACTGGGCCAAGGTCAACTTCCAAGAGTGAGAGAAGAGTAAGACGCCCTCTAGAAGCAAGGAGGATGGGCATGTTTGGAATAGTTATTTTTTTGGGACTCAAAAGGAAATGAAGGAAGTTTCTAAATGTCCAGGGAAATCTAATTAAATGGACCAATAAAAATTTATTATGTTCTTCCTAAATGCCTGACCTGCAACTTGGTGCTGGAGTCAAAGAAATAAATAAGATGTTGTTTGATCAATGTTGTTTTGCAAGGAGTAGGTATCTAGAAGGAAAGACAAAAAATACACTAAGTCTCAGCACAGGAGCAGTCATACAATGCTATGGAACCATGGAGGTAAGGAAATTGCACCAGCTAAGGCAGGTGAAGTTGAGAAGGCAGAAAGCTGGATAAGGAGGGGACTGGAAGAGATGAATTCTGAGCTGATTCTGCAGGATAAACAGCTCCTGTGTGGGAGAAACATGGTTGGGAAAAGCAAAAAAGGTGGAAGAGAATGAGCAAGGGGACAGAGGTAAGGGTCCTCACGAAGTGAGTTGGGGTCCCGATATACTTGAGTATTGCCAGAGTGGAGAACTGCAGGAGAAAAAAATAAGTGGTCACACCCACTGGCATGAAGTATAGGTGTCAAGGCAGTTTGAACATTTCCCTGGAGAGAAATTGAAAACACTGAAAGGCTGTAGCAGGGGGAGAGATAAAGGGTGGAACACAGGTTTGGCGTGGCCAGGGTGGAGCTTTCATGATTCATTCTAGCAGTAGCATAGGAGAATGAATTAGGAGGTAGAGATAATGACGTAAAAAGAAAAAAAACTCTTGACAACACGGACAGAAATGATTGAAAGATCAATGTAAGAGGTGAAAGAAAAGGAGGCTGCAAAATCACTTCCAGGTTTTATGGAAGATGTCATAATTAACTGACAATGACTTTGGAAAAATTACTGGCGAAAATGGCAAGTGTAATTTTGGACACAATTTAATTTGGACACTTTAAATTTCTAAATTTAAATTCAACAACATTTAAAGTACTTATAAGAAATCCAGTTGGAAGGTCAACTGTGAGGTGAAATATGGGAGTGTGAAACACAGAGACATCATGTGTACATGTGTAACAGATTCAGCTGCCTGTCTTTTTCCCATAAAGCCATGGAGAAGGACAGGGAGAATGAAGATCTGCAGATCAGAGTATCTACGGTGGAAGAGGGAGCAGAGAATTCTCAAGGGCTTATCGTGAGGGCCAAGCCAGGTAGAGAGTTAAGGCCAGAAGTGTGTTAATAAATGTGGTGGGAAGTCTAGTGCAGAATTGACAGGGGAGGATGGCTCTGAGAGAGCGAGACTAGAGTTTAAGTCCCTGGGGATGCAGAAATCCAACTGGTGATATGTTAGTGAAGGTGGATTTCTTAATAATGTGTAGGAAGGGTAAAGTAAGAGAGGGGGTACCGGATGGTGATGGTGAATTTCAAAACCACATGAAAGATGATCAGAGAAGAGAAAAAGAAATTCCAGCAAAATCGGAGTGATCTGTATATGGAGAGCTGAGGCACTTAGTACTCTGTGGGATAGAGAAGCGTTGAAGCTTCCACCGAAGAGGGATGCAAGAGACACAATGTCATCTTAACTATTCAAGTTTAAATTCCGTATACCCCCACTCACTTGCCTTCTCTTTCAATACCCATCTCCACCACTCCCATCATCAATTTCCCAGTTTAGCTATTTTAAGAGAGAGCCCTTTCAAACTTTTATTTTATTTTTTTATTATTATTCATATGTGCATACACTGCTTGGGTCATTTCTCCCCCCTGCCCCCACCCCCTCCCTTACCACCCACCCAGCCTCCTCCCTCTCCCCCCCACCCCCTCAATACTCAGCAGAAACTATTTTGCCCTTATCTCTAATTTTGTTGAAGACAGAGTATAAGCAATAATAGGAAGGAACAAGGGGTTTTGCTGGTTGAGATAAGGATAGCTATACAGGGAGTTGACTCACATTAATTTCTTGTGCATGTGTGTTACCTTCTAGGTTAATTATTCTTGATCTAACCTTTTCTCTAGTTCCTGGTCCCCTTCTCCTATTGTCGTCAGTTGTTTTTAAGGTATCTGCTTTAGTTTCTCTCGTTGAGGGCAACAAATGCTAACTAATCTTTTAGGTGTCTTACCCATCCTCATATCTCCCTTGTGTGCTCTCGCTTTTATCATGTGCTCAAAGTCCAATCCCATTGTTGTGTTTGCCCTTGATCTAATGTCCACATATGAGGGAGAACATACGATTTTTGGTCTTTTGGGCCAGGCTAACCTCACTCAGAATGATATTCTCCAATTCCATCCATTTACCAGCAAATGATAACATTTCGTTCTTCTTCATGGCTGCATAAAATTCCATTGTATATAGATACCACATTTTCTTAATCCATTCATCAGTAGTGGGGCATCTTGGCTGTTTCCATAACTTGGCTATTGTGAATAGTGCTGCAATAAACATGGGTGTGCAGGTGCCTCTGGAGTAACCTGTGTCACATTCTTTTGGGTAGACCCCAGCTATGTACTTATAGATGTTTCCTTTCATCTACACTGCCATGAAATCTTGCTGCTACCTTCTTTTCTTTAAGACTCTTTTTTCATTCCTGTAACAGACCACTAGATTGGACTCTAATCACAACTGTACAGCATAAGAGAGATTGCTTAAGCCAAACCTGTTTAACTCTTTGAATACGAAAAGTGTATGTGTAGTGCAGAATGGCTCAAGTTTACAGTCTTCTTGCCTCATTTCCAAGTCTACTAGCATCACTGTCACTCTTCTTTTTGACTTTAGAAGGGCCAGCTGGTCTACTCAGGCTGGTGTTCTCCCATTTTCTACCCATGTCATATTTTGCTCAGACCTTCATTTTTTTTTCCTTCTAGAAGGCTTTCCTCCTCCTTTGCAAATCTCAGTTCTGCCTCTCCCACAATGACCATACTATGGAGCTTTTTGGAATGAAGGCAACCCATGCTGATCTCTTGGTCAATTAGTAGTTATATAGTTTAGGATGTAAGTAGTCTGTATTTAATCTGTATTACCTTTCCAGTCTGGATTTATGTTCTGTGAATGTAAGAACAAGTTTCTTATATACATAATAACTACTGTTATATATTATTACATAAAGAATATAAAACTATTTCTTGTACACAATAATAAACATTCTTAAAATTAAATGACACCCGTTATCTTTCTTCTTCTCATTAACAGGAATTTTCTAGTTAGGTGGGTCCATAATAATGGTTGTTAAGTTAGATTTTTCTGATACATAAAAACTGAGAAGTGAAGTCTCAATTTAGATCTAGTTACAGGAATTTTAAATGCTACAAAGCATTATTCTTAAAAATGTCTCTGGACTTGTATAATTGTGATTCATGAATATTACTATTTTTTTCACCACCAAATAAGGAATCTCCTTGCAATTATTTTTCAAAGCATTTGTCAAAATTATTTTCACATCAATGGAGGACTTTCTTGCATCTACATTGGGCCATGTTTTGAACCAAATGGATGAATTGAACATTTAGTATTTAGCCTTGTATTTTCATGTTCTGTGGAAATCCAATTGTTCAGATAACCTACAATCATTTAGCCAACTTAGAAATAATATAATTACATGCATTATAGATCTACATACTCTACGAGGGAAAAAAAAAGAAGAGAAATGTCACAGTGCATTTTCCCTCCTCAGGAATTTTTAATTTCTTTTTAAAAAGCTTCACTATGGAAAATTTCAAATATATACAAAGGCTGAGCAAATACTAAGATCAACTTACAAATACCCAACATTAACTTCCACAATGATCAATTAATGGCAACTCTCTTCCAATATATCCCTATCAGCTTCTCTAAAATGGATTTTAATAGCAAATTCATGATATCATATTTTATCCATAAATGTTTTAGCATATATTTGTAAAAGAGTAAGACTTTTGAGAAAAAAAATCATACCCACAACATTGTTACCACACCAACAATATAAATAATTATTCCTCAATATCATCAAATACCTATGAGTATTTGAGTTTCTCTGGTTGTCTCATAGTATAGTTTTCTTTGAATCTGGACTTATAAAGAATTATATATATTAAGGAAAAGCACTATAAATCTCTGAGCCAAAACTTCATTCTTTTTGGTAAAGACTGAGCACCCCTAACCCAAAAATCTAAAATCCAAAATGCTCCAAAATCAGAAACTTTTTGAACACTGCTGGAATCAAACAATTGGAAAATTCCACACCAGGCAACTTTGCAATAGTGGACTCTTTGATGGGACTAGGAGAAGGGAAAGGAAAAACAAAGATAGGGTGAATAATATTAGAACCCATTGCATTTGCATAGGAAGATGGGTGGGAGGGAAAGAGTAAGGGAGGGAATACAGGGGTTTGATCTGATTAAAGTACAGGCATTCACAGGTGAAATATCATAGTGAAACCTCTTTAAACGATGAATATACATTTAAAGAAATGAAGGACAACTGTAATCCTAGCTACTTGGGAGGCTAAAATAAGGAGGATCAAGGTTCAACACCAGCCCAGTCAAATAGTTAGCAGGATCTCATCTCCAAAATAACCAGAGCAAAATGGACTGGAGATACAGCTCAAGTGGTAGAGCACCTGTCTTGCAAGTGCAAAGCCTTGAGTTCAAATCTGTCTCACCAAAAGAAAGTAAAACAAAAAAAATCTTAAAATAAAAAAATCTAATAATTAAAGAATTTTGTGTTTAGACTTGGGTTCAATAAGCAAGAAATCTCATTTATGGATATTCAAATGTCCCCAATTCAAAACAATCCAAAACTGAAACTCTTCAGGTTTCAGGCATTTTGGATAAGCAGTACTCAACCTGTAGAAAAACTAATTTAGGGAAAAAAAATCAGTTTCCCATCCCATGTTCATTTTGAGGTTTTGTATTTTATGGGTAGTGCCATATTTAAACAACAGACTGTCACAGGCTCCCAGTACACAGTTCTGGTAAATTTAACTTCTGTGACCAAAGTCTATGTACGACATGAAACTGAAACTCTTTAGCAATGGGTTTTCTTACTCTTCCTTGTTCCTAAAAGGATGGGAGGTGACTGACCTTAAGCATTAGCATTTTGCCAGTAGTTTTATGAAAAAGATGATCAGTACCTTATTTTTTATTTTACTGAGAGTGTAACGTTTGTCATGGAACATCATTTATATAGAGACAATGTGCACACCCATAGTAACAGTCTTTTTTATTTATATTAAACTCCTAAACTAAAAAAGCACAAGCCATATGAATTCACATGATTTAAAAATGCATTCAGTAAATGCTTCATATTTAAATTTATACCATTTCTATATTTATTTTATGTCTATCTGGCTCAGATCACTGTTTTCAATTCATGCCTTTGCACCACTGGGAATTTTAATAAAAATTGTTGTGCTTCCCTTTCTCCCAATTCTCTTCTATGATATGCAAAAGTAAAACAAGTGTTCTTCAACAGAGGCCCTGCCCTCTTCACCGCCCCCCGCCCCGCAAGCAGGAAGAAGAAATGTCACTTGCCACTCATTTCCAGAAAGTATCTTGCATTCATTAGCATTCGGCCTTGAGGTTTCAGCTCTAACTGGGGGAGAGAAGGAGAGAAATATCAGTCAGAATGTGAAGCCAGCCCTGAGCTCAATGACGTCATAACTAGCACAATGTGTGATGGCAGGAGATTTCCAAGACAGAAATGATTGTGGTTCTTTTTCACTTATCACACTTATCATCATCATCAGAACATTGCAGCATCTGTCACGATGGCCTTTCTTTTATCACAACATCTCAGTTGTTCATTAATTTTCCTTGGAGATCAAAATTTAAGTAAAGAAGAGATAAAATTCTAAAACAGATTGTTTGGTTTTCTTGCCTGTGCTGTGCTTCTCTGGAGAGCCACAGAGGGAAGATCTGGATCTTAATCAAGACAGAAGCATCCTCGACACCAGGACTAGCTCCCTTGGAGGGGAAAGTAAGTCTTTTGAAAAGAAAGATAAATCCTGCTTTGATGGACCTATGACCCTCTTCCCTTCTACATAGGATGGACAGCTAGGTTAAATCAGGATATTCAATGAGGGTAGCCTTTTCTTTCACAAGGAGAAACTGGGAGAATTACTGGATGGAAATAAGACAGGTCTGGGAAGGGATAATATATATATATATGTATATATGTATTTTCATATATATATATGTATATATGTATTTTCATATATATATATATGTATTTTCATATATATATGTATATACACATATATATGAGTAGTATGTAGAAGAGACCAGAACAAAGTGCCATTTTACGGGATGATGCAGAATCTCATATAATGTGACATATATAGGAGAAACAGGACAAATCCAAGACAATCTGAGCTCCAGCAGTAATCTATACCTTAGACATCACTCTATGCTATTAGTGGACGAACAAAATCAGAGGTCGTCATTATTCATTATTATTCATCACATCCATGGGTTAATTAGAATAGTTGAGAGACAGCAAGAAATGTCCTGTTGAACCCAGAGTTGAATTTGAATTATACCTAAATTGTCTGGCTGTGTGACCTGTTGCAAGTCACTAAGCCTTCTCAGATCTCTGAGAAATGACATAATAGCAATGCCTAAGTCACAGCACTGCTATTATGGTTTTATAATAAAATAAGCTTGTGCTGCTTGGCTAACTATAAATTCTCACACAAGCTTAAATAGATTAATGCAAAGAGAAATGCTTTTGACATCAAGTATAGATCTGGTTTGTGAAATAAGTAGTAGTAATGAAGCAAGCAGTGAAAATCTGTATGAAGTGACTATGGTGTTATCCATAGTCAGGAAGCAGTGATGATGGAGGAAATTAACAATACCCACAGGAAGTCATGTTTTATCACATTTTAGGGACTGAATGGGATATAACCATATAAACAGTTGCCACCTTGGGAGAACAGAGACAAGTCCCACTGCCTGTTTAGAAATCTTGTCTGTAGAAGTGAAAGGTACATTTGAGAAAATCTACTTTCTAATAGAGAAATTAATTTTAAGAAAGCAGCTTACCCTAGAAGCAAGTTAAATTACTAATTCAAAACAACCTATTGACCCTTGAAACAAAAGTAAAGTAAGAAACAACTCTGAAAATTAATCAAAGCTTAAAAATGTAAAATGTCTACTTGTTAGTTAAATAGGAATTTGAATGCCTCCGTGTGTTTGTGTTCAAAAATCCTAGACTACAAACGAAAGGGAAATGTTTGACAAGAAAATTAACCAAATGTAACCTTGATGAAATCAAAAAGCAAACTGCTTATTAGTGAAGTCTAATTAACAGATTAAAAAAAAATCTCTGTAGGCTTTCCTTCATTGATCAGGGAAAACAAAGAAAATGTTATTTTAAAATCAGGGAATTGTGTCTTCTTCTTTAAAATAAACAGAAAGAAGAAAGCAAATAGGCAAAGGCATGTGTGTGAGTGTGTTTGTGTGTGAGTGAGTGTGAGTGTGGGTGTATGAGTGTGTGAGTGTGGAGTGTGTGTGTGAATGTGAGTGTGTGTGTGAGTGTGAGTATGTGTGTGGTGGGGAACTGCAGATGAATTTCTGTAGCTAATCTGTTTTTTCTCCTTGTCAAGCCAAAGGCTCCTCTCCTGTGTGCCAGGCTCAGCTACAGCCATACCCTGTCATTTCCTTGTTTTTTTATAAATTCCTTGCAACACTAAATTAAACATCTGTAACCTTTTTTTTAATTTGCCTAATCAGCTACCCTGAGTTCTGAGTGGCTGGTAGAGGAGTTTTGGCTCCTATCCCTTCCCCAAGCTAGATGGAGAAATGCTCTATAGAGACCTCTGAACTATATGATGGAGACATAGCTAAGCACAAGACTTTTAATAAAAATCTTGGCGTGTATCTGTCTGTAAAGATTTCTTTAGTGATTCAAGCAAAGATATACATACTTTCCTAAAAAGTTTCTTTTTTGAACTCACAAACACATACTAATGCAAAAATGCATTATTTTTTTTAGTGCTTGGGAATCAAACCCAGGGTCTTGTGCATTGCTAGGCAAGTGCTCTACCACTGAGCTACATCCCCACTCCAAAATGTAGTTCAGAAGCTTCTATCATTTGAAAAGCTTTTGGGTGGATTTCTGAAATCTGAGTTCCAGAAAGCAAGAAGGAGAAAGGCAAGATCGTCTCCTTTGACATAAATGATAGAATCATTTGAAAATATTTTCTGTGCTTCAGATCATGTAAAAGCAGTTTTTACTGAAATATTTTATTCCTTTTGTGCCCCAAACTTTTCATGAGCATTTTGTGTTTTCATATTTTACTTTCCTCTTTATTTCTAAATTTCTAAATATTCTAGATATTTCTAAAGATCTGCTACCTGATTGTAACCTGGGTTTGCCGACACTTGGTGTGCTAGCATGAATCTGGATGCTGTACTTCTCAGTACAAGGCAAGCTAAACGAATTCGTTATCGCTGAAAACATTTTTAGGAACGAGCCAAAGTATGGCAAAAGAAGACCAAACATGAAATGGGCCTGTTGTCTTGAAAGACAACAGTTGGGTTCCCCAACTAAGAAGAATTCGTGATATTTCCAAGCTTAGCTCAACAGTTATAAACCAATAGCCATTTTTCATCACCTGAGACCTCCTTCACCTTACATAGGCATCAAAGAGATTTGAACATGTCACTACATTCAACAGTTTATAACGAATAACCACTGTCATTATCAAATCACGAAGGAGTAAGTGGTAGGGATCTGTTAACCCGAGGCCGGTGTAATCACAACAGGGAAATTTGGAGCTAGTCAACAGCTAACACATGGTGCACACACTTGAGATGACACTCATGACTCCAACACACACCCAGATTTCTGTCCTTCCGTTGTTCTTCCGGCATCTCTCGGCCAACGAGTAGAGCTCCACTGTGGTCTCCGAAATGAGGTCCACGTTCTTGCCCCTCACGATGATCTGCATCACTCTGCCCTTGATGATGTGGGCGTCAAAGGTGCTGTCCCATGGTGGGTACATGGTTGGCTTTTTCTGGATATACATCTGCCCGTTTTCTAGAACAGATAGATTTGTCCTCATTACTCCTTTAGTCCACTCTAGAGAACAATTCAATTTATAAGAGCACCATTCCCTCTACTCTCAACGATAGGTTTAAGAAAAGAATAAACCGTTAGGATAGCACAGGACAGAGCAAGACAGCTCCATGGGCTAGACACCAAGGTAATTCACCGACTCTTAAAAGTCCAATGTAGATAGGTTTAAGAAACAACTTGACACTGTCATAGACTGGAAATATTCCTTTTGTATTCATTGGTTGATCACTTTGGGAATGAATATCCGAGCAAATAAACTTGGACTATGTAACAAGACTGTCCCAAAATATCAAGCGCAAAATAAACAAAAAGACAAAGCAAAAAGAAACATCAAACATTCCCCCCCTCAAACTTTTATGCCTTTTGACACCCTTCTTTATTAGCCTAGAAAGGTTTGGTCATATGACTGATTAATTTCACTGGCATGCACCCTAAACAAAAGCTGATAAGTCATGTGAGAGGTAGTGTCTAAATCCATGGAGCCAGCAGAGTAACGTGCAGACCTCTATGTGCAGAAAGGTAGGAAGAAAGGAGTCCTGTCACGGTTAAGAACACAAACAATGACCAGGACAATCCCTTTCTGGGAAACCTCCGCAGAAGTCACCATGTGATTGGGAAATTTTACCCATGGAATCAAACAGCTTTGTCGTATCTTTTACCCACATTTTTTCTCTGGTACTTATTTTTTAATCATTTTTTAGAAGCAGAAAACTGTAGCTGCATTTGAGTGTTTGTTTTTTGTGATAATAAGCCCATTAAAGTGGCAGATTTAGCCTTTCAGAGATGTTGATAAAGAAAAATAGAAAAATCCACTTAAAGCAGGGATATAAAGCAGTTCTAACTACCTCAGTAGCACATGAGGCCAAACAGAACAGGTGCTTAGCATTTGTTAAATTAGTATTTATTGAGGTTATACAAGGAATCAAATAAACTGAAACTTCCAATTTTAAACTTGGCTGCTAGAGGTACAAACTGTGACTCTGTTAGGGATGGACTAGGAAGGGGAAGGATTGGCAAGATGGGGTTAAAAAAATTTAAGTGTAGACTGACTTGTTAGATAGTAACAATATTAATAATCATAGTAACATTTGTTGCCACAGACTTGAAGCGTTCCCTTCAAATAATTCCTTTCAGTTATAACCATTTTCCATGTTGAAGAAGGGGCAGAAATTCCTGAGGCAAATAATTTTTTGTTTTTTTACATTTTAATTCATTAGGTTTGAATTACCTAAGTAGAGGACCAGACCCCAAGGTCCCGTCTATATATGGCAAGTGCTACCATTTTCAAAGGTTCACAGAGCGAGAAAGCACTGTGACCTCTTTGTCCCTGTCCCATTGACTCTCACAAGAAATGCAGGCTCACACCCCAAAGATCAAAACCTGTTTAAATTCTATAGAAGTAAAACTTGAGCGATGACATTCAGAGTTATTTCTCTTCAGAACACAACTAAAACAAAAATCAAAACCAGAAATCTCCAAAGTCCACAGCCCAATCTTTTGGAAAAACAATTTTCTTCTTTTCTGACAAGGTTTCTTGATCCACATGGCTGATTAGACCAAGTTCAAAGGCAAGGCCAAAAGAAAAAGGGAGGAAAATAAGAGAAAAAAGGAAAAGGCTCTCAGGAGGCAAATGTCGGTGAGACCTGAGGTTGGAAGGAGAACTGGATGGTGAAGAACCATTAAGTCAAAAGCAGCTTTTGAAAAACTCAGACATTTTACACTTCAAAGATGTCTGTGACATTTGAAAGGGTTTAGGCTGGGAACAAGTGGCATTCTTACTTTTAACTGAAACAGGAGAGAACTCTGGGCAGAAGGGAATCAGATGACTCAGGCAGTCTCCCAGCTTTGATGTACTCAGAGTGGCTGGAGGGATAAAGTGAGCTGTGGAGGAAAATGTCTTGGGAGGCGCTCATCAAGACAGGATTAGGAACCCCTGTACGCATCAAGCAGTTGTCAACATTTGACTCAGTTTCTCTTCGCATCTACAAATGCTCCCATTTCCCACTGGGGTCTTTTAAGGACTACTCTGTATAGAATAACAGACATTCCTCTGTTCCCATCCTTCTGTCTCCCTTTACCCTGCTTTATGATGCTCACAGCATTTACTGTTACTTATTTTGTTATATTAGTGTTTATTGTCTGTCTTCCTCTGGGACAAAAGAAGCTAAGAGGAAGGCACTCTTTCTGAGCTTTTGGTTTGGTTGTTTTCCTCTCTGTTCTAGTACCAGAGCCCAGAAAGTTCCATGAGAACTTTTTGTTTAAATAAATTATGATGGCATCTATAGTTGCTGCAACCCTGTACCTCTGGAATCACACACTTATTTACAATGCCTTTGTGTATAGGCAAATAGGAAAAGGTAGTGAGGCTGGTAAGGTCTTGGGTTATAAACTTCTGTTTCCTATATCTGTTGGAAAATCTGTAAGAATCTTAAAATGCAGAGGTAGGGATCAAATGAGTGGAAGCCAACTGAAGCAACCACAGACTGATTCTGTACCAATAGAATTGCTTTAAACAGAATGTTCTAAACCCACAAAAGGAATCTCAGGTGGCTGGCACACTCCACCCCCTTCACCATGAACTGCCTGTAAATATTCGTGGTGGACAAAACAGGATTATTCTTTCGCTCAGGTAGGATCTTAAGTGAAAATTATTAAAATTTGGATTGTAAGGGTTAATTACAGGTTCTTAGACCCTTCACCTAAGCTTAGGAAGGAAGCAGCAAGAAATCTTCAGAGTTAATCACAACATCAATGAAGATTAGGTCATCTTAATCTACCTATAATCATTTAAATCAATCAGACTTATCAATACAGGTATACATATTCTACTCTTGCTTACCAGATTTCTTTCCTGTTAACTCCTCACTTTATTCTTCTTATCTTTATTCATGTGAAAAAAAAATGGTACAGTGAAATATAAGCACCAGTTAGTCGCAAGGTTCTGGTCAGCGTCCATCACTTTAGTATGTGTCCTTAAGAAAGCACTAAGCTTCACTGGGCTGAGCTACAAAATCCAGTTGAACCAAATGACCTTGAAGGTCCTGGAGGGATCTTCATTATCAGAGCCTTCTCCTTTGCTTCCACCTCAATCCCAACTTAGTCTTACCTGATTCAACATACTCTTTGACAAGCACAGCACAGTAGGGGTTCACAGCCTCGCCCTGACAAGACTGACAGGTCCCACAGTCAAAGTTGGATAAGCCAATTCGAAGAAATGGTGACATGGCTGCTCCCTGGAAAAACAAAAGACAAACATTGTTTGGGGCTATTATTATTATTTTTGGTGTTCCATCTCTACTTTACCAGAGTTTTATCACTGACAGATAGAGCCTCAAATGGGTCTACTATCCATCTGAACAAATGCTTTTATTTCCTCTTCTGCAAAGCACATTGCTGAACTCACCCCCAACCACAGGCTGACTTGCCAAAGGAAGAGGCTTTCTGGAAGTCTCTCTCCAACCTTGCCAGTGAGAACTAATGAAAGAGTTAATTCCCCTCAGTCTAATGGAGTTACGTTTAATAGCTAAAGAGTGAGGCAAGCGTTTTCCAAAATTTTATTTCCTGTGTTATTCAACAAGGTGCACAAGAAACAACACACAGTAATCAGAAAACAAGTTTATAAAGAGTCTATTTTAGTCACACTAGTTAAATATGACACCACAAAATTCTTACATGGTCTATTTATGTGTATAACGGAATTGACTCTAGGCATTTCGCAACTGATCCTTATTTACTTTGGATGTTTTCGAAAAGATCTGCTTTTGTCATACACACACACACACAAAATCAGTCTTTGAACATCTGTGAACCACTCAAAAACAACTTTGAACCACTCACCATTGTAAAATAGTGATTATTATTTAAGGATAATGAAAGAACTTCATAAATGTCCTCCAAAAAACCTCTTACCAATTATGTTTACCTAGAGATTTAAGGTGACACTATTACAGTGTTAGCTGTAGACTACAGGAATCTACTTGGATTCATCTGTTGCTCGGTTTCCTTTTGCTCTGGCATTTGCCTCAACTAAACTTTTCCTGTAATTTTTTACCTGCTTCTCCATGAGCTCCATTGATCTGAAGCTGTCATCTGGTATTCAGTGAAAAAGTTATTTCCTTACTTCCTCTCTCTTCTTTGAACCACTCCATCCTCATGCATTTGCCCAAACTTTCATAAGTAAGCTAGAGCTAATGCAGAGGGCATTGGTGGTCTTGTCTGCCCTTGCATGGGGGTGGAAAACTATGAGGAATAACAGCCACCCACCCAGAAGTGAGTGTCAGTAACGTTACTGGAATCTTGGGCCTCTAACAGCGAATTTAGCAAAACCAAAAGAACCCTTCAGTACTCTGGCATGTTCTTTGGATAAGTTTTCAATCTATGTAGAGACAAATTAGGAGTACTTTACAGGCATCCCTAAAGATTTCACAGATATTAGTGAAATCTTCATTTCCTGCAGAGTTTGGAAGGTTTATCTAAAGGAGATGGTCACATGACCATCATTTGTTGGATATCGTTTGTCTCTGAAGTATTTTCTATATAGATCAGTGCTGAATTGTAGCTAGTCAACTTCTGGTTTTGTCTTTGTGGGGGGCAGGGTTCCTTAGCCTTATGAGTTTAGAATTCTTAGACAGGAGCTGGGATATCAGCTGAAAATCCTCCAAGAGGACTTCTTTGAGAGCCTTTTCTTCCCTGGAAAACATGGGAGTTCAGACCAATCTCTATGTCCCTACTCATCAGGAAAAATCCCTGAAACTCTCCTCACTCATAAGAATATTAATCACAAGTGGACTTTCAAAGATTTTCTTAATACAAATAAAAGGTAAGTAATTACTTCTGATTTCAGTCCAGAAGGATGATGACTCATAAAGCCTGAGTTACAACCTCTCTGACCTTTGGTGACTTGTCTTCTATTTCTGGGTTGCATTTCTGATCAGGCAGCAGCAGCTCTAAATGAGTCCATCTTAGGAATAGATAGAAACCTTTAGGGTTGCCAGGGTTTCTATTACTGCGTGGAAAGGAGCTGAGAGAAACACTCTCTCCTCACCAATGCCTTGCTTAGGTATCAACTATTGCAGATTCATGTGTGTTTCACTAAATTCATTTGCATATTCTCTCACCCAGGGCATTTGACAATTTACTTTTGTTGTTTATATTTTATTTGTTTGCTTTTGTACTGGGGTTTGAAATGCAGGCCTCCTGCTTGCTGGACTGGTGCTCTAGCACTTGAGCCATGCCTCCAGCCTTTTATTTTTCAGATAGGGTCATGTGCTTTTATTCAGGACAGGCATCTAACCAAGATCTTCCTACCATCACTTCCCAAGTAGCTGGGATCACAGGCATGTACTATGACACCCATCCTGCATGTATCTGTTTGATAACAAAGTCAGTGTCTCTTCCTAAAGGTTTGGTCACAGTGATATGTCTGACATACATCTTGACATCTAGATGACAGAACTGACATTTTTTTAGATCTATATGTCAAGTGCCAAGAAGCGAAATAAGCACAGGAGGATGAAACTAACATAAAGGATTTTCATGGACTGCTGATGGTAGGGAGAGGGGGAGTTTCCTTAGGCACTAAAAAAGGAGAGTTCCTTGTATACAAAAATATATGTGCTGAAATAGCACGCCTTAAGACAGAGCTTGTGAAGGTGTCCTCGGTAGACTGTAAATTTGAATCAATCTCAACTTTACTCTCCATCCACCAGATTCACATCACTACAAATGTGTGCATAACGTGACTGATTGCTACTAACAGCGCACACCTCTCAGCTAAGCAATAAAATCACACATCCATCAATTTCCTGTCATCTTCATATATATTCACATATATATCCCCCAGACCCCACTTGGGATACGTGATATTTTCTTCAGATATACCCCTTCTTTTACTTTGCCAGCTAGTGACTGCTGTCAGGACTCTCAGTCTAGCCCTTTGCTTTGACTTCATCCTTCCACTCCTGCCCGACAACCAGCTTGCTTGATCTCCTGGCCCACTTCCTCCACTTCCTTCATTTTGCCTAAGCTCAATCCTACATTGGCTCCTGTTGGATGCACCATGGCAGCAGTGTTTTATCCTGTCTCTCTCTCTCTCTCTCTCTCTCTCTCTCTCTGTCCATTCTTGGTTACTCCTCAATTCCTAACATCTTCATGCTGCTGCCTGAAAGGTCTTTCTTAGGATATTGACAAACGGCCATTCTTCCTCCAGCTGCTTCATAGCTCTAGACTTTTAGTTAAGATGCACTGTCCCTCCAATGTCATCCTATTTCACCCGTCCTTTGTTCCCCCACCTTTCTCAGCCTTTGGGTTCCTTCCCAGTCCCTATCTCCTCTTTGAAATCTTTCTTCCATCCTCCTCCATTACTGTCTTGGTGGGATTTATTAGGTGCCCCTATTGTTCCTGGGTGCACTGCTAAGTCGGACCTAGCATGTTTCATTGTTACTACCATTTTTGAAGGTTGATTGGGATAAATTATGGGACTTACTCTTTGAACCAGTGCTTCAGCTCTCAGCCATCATCTATGGGCTCAGTAGAAGGCCTCAATTCAACTATACAAGTCTCTCTGGTCTCACCCACATTAGCAAACTCCCTCTGAGTGAGTGCAAATGGGTGCCTTGCTTCCTTCATCCCTAGGGAATATAAAGAATTTCCTCTACTATCATACTCCTTTGGACATTCAGTCAGCTTGTGTGATGGGGAAAGAGATGGAGTGTCAGAGCATACACTGCCATTTTTCTCTACAAAATCTTACTAGCTAGATTGGTTCGTGACCAGTATGGTTAGATGTCATTAGTATGAACCAATATGATCATGACATCATCAATATGGACCATGACTTCATCATTTACATGTCTCCAGAACTGATTCCCACTATCTCATAGGTGGTAGATGCTTAATGCATTTTTGCTATATTTTGTTAATTTTCTAAAGCAATGTTTTATGCAATCTCTTAATCTCATGTATTTGCTTTATCTGCAAAGATACACGACAGTCAAATGGAGCAACAAACAGTTGTAGAGAAAGTCTATAACAAAGGAAACATCCCAGAACATAATACAGTCAGAAGATCGATGCCCTCATGAGCTCAGCCGCTGGAGTTATTTAACCTCTGTAAGGCTGTTTTCTCATTTGGAAAGTGCTGCTATTACTACTAGTACTCTCAAAGGGCTATAAGAATTAAATGGGCAAACACACATAAGGTGCTTGGAATGGCACTGATGCGTAGTAAATGTTAGTTACAAGTATTATGACTCTGATATATTTTCTAATAGGCTTTTTTCACTTTATTGATTTGTACCAAATAGGGCAGGAGAAGAGTTGAAATAGTCTTTTAGGGGCATATCTTGGTTGAATTATGTGACCTTCATCTGTGCTCTGCTACCAAGCCCTCATAAAACCCTACATATATCTCCCGTATAGCACTTACTTCCCTCAGATACAGTCATCTTGATACCAGCACTTATCATGATGGATATCAGTTATGTCCACCCAATCTTCCATGCTTTTGCTATTCCAGCTGCAAAATACGATCACAATACGTTCTTGAAATTTGCCAAGAATCTTTACTCTTCCTGGTACAATATTTTCACCTTTGAGTGTGATCTCATTTGTGGTTGACACATCGCTTTGATGCAGGTACATGACAAAGAATAATTGCTCAGCAGGTGTGCTTTGGGTCACCTGAGAATTCTAGTACCCTGACTCACTGGATAGTGATTCATCTACTTGCCTAGGCTGACTCACCCTCCACAAGTCACACCTCCCTAATGCTTTGTGGTGATCGTAGGGTTGTCCACATACCCGAACCTGACGGGGAAAAATTCCATAGAACTAGAAAGCAATAGAAGTGCAATACACTCTCCATCAACTGAATTCTGAATTCCCTTCCTGTGCAGCAAATGAAATAAGAATTAGGATACTTCTTTATTTAAAAAATTGGACTGCATTTTTATTATTGTGATTTAGTTCGAGATTTCTTGATACCAGGAGAGAGTATCACAGGAATAAAATAACAATAGTCATCACTTTATTAAACCCTCTAACATGTAGAAGCCAGAATACATATTAAGCAGTAGTAAACTTGGGAATGAGAAGAAATTGAAAAAGACTCCATGGTTTCTAATTACATCTGCTCAGACAAACTGGATGCACATTAGGTCAGAAAAGTTTTTGGCAAATTAAACTACGCCCTACATTTATATTTCATTATGAGACAGAAAAGTGCTATAGGTAA